ATTCAACGTTCTTTCCTATATCACGTATCGTACGTGTTTGTATTTCTGCTCTATTCCACAACATACATGTTATTGCACATCGACAGGTCAATGTCTGTGGTGAATGTCGGCTCGGCCAGGTGTGACATCAAGGTCCACTGAGCTAGCATAGATCCCGCGTTAGTCGGCATTTTTCCAAGCGACTTTACGTAAGGGGATTAAAGCGAAATCGAGCTTTAAATTGATAGACAGAGAGAGAGAGAGAGAGAGAGAGAGAGAGGGGAGAGGGAGAGGGAGAGGGAGAGAAAGGGAGGGAGTGCCATTGATCGGAGTCGGTTTCACTTAAATCGCCGATGATGCATGCTAACTGGCAGTCGCGCCCATTAGATCGATCTCCCGAGCGGAGATTGTCTATAGGTCCATACATGACCACGATGCTCGTAATTGGTTTCATCGGCATAACCAGCTGTTGTGTCTGGCGTCTTTCATCATTCAAACGGAACAGCCTGTTCCTTCACAGACTCGAGCAGATATATGGAAGTAACGAGAGCTAATTATAGACTTAAATAAAATAAAAAGTTTAAGTTTATTAAATTTTCTTCCGCAAAAGAGAAGACTATGAGCTGCGACAGTTTGGTCAACCGGCAGTCATTTACTTATTTATATTCACATTTTCATAATTTTTGTAATTCCCTACAAACACTAATTTATACCTTAATAAAAAATTCTAAACTACATAAAAAATTTATGGCGACTACATTTTGCTGTTATGCAATTCATCAAATTAATTGCATTTAATTTCAAGACAATGCCCTCTGTTGAAATAAAATTAGTGTAATACTAATGTAAATATTGGTAATACCGCGTTCTTCATACCTTGCATAATTTGGATTACGCAAAAACAGTTGCAGTTAATCGTTAATTTGCGAGTCGCACGGTAGCGTATACTTCGAGGATAATTTAATTAAAATTATAATGATGTATTAACTGATAGAGATCCGTTTACGGTAATGCATCAGTGATACCACGCATATTTTATATACCCGTACAATGGTCGCATCTAATAATTTATGTATAGTCGACGATGCGTTTTCAGAGAAACGGGTAACCGACATTACATAATTCATTGAATTTATACGAGCAGGATAGCAAACTGTATGGACTATAACGTTATAAATCATGACGGCTGAAACAAGCAAAATCGAAGGACGACGGCGGCATAATATTTTTCGTCAAGAATGTTTGCAGCGCAATATAATACCTCTTAATAATGTGTGTATATAAAAAGTGACGCAAATTTATTTTAATTTAAATATTTACAGCAAGCGTAATTAATATTAGAATATTTCAATATGAAGAAAAATACATGATGTATATATTTCTAATTAAATTTTTGTCAATCAGAATTATTAGTCAGAAACTAAATATTTGTCTCTCTTTATTTAATGAATTATTTAAGATGTCGAATTAATTGATTGAATTAGCAGCACCATGTTGAGATACAATTAACAATAACAAAAATAATTTGTAATTTTAATATATAAATATATAATCAATATTGATGTTTATTCTAAATTTCATATATCCGGGGATAACATTAAAGACATATTGAAAGTGTTAAATGCAATGTATGTCCCATGTGAGGAAATCGCTCCGAGGATTCATTATCGGAGCGGTTTCGTCGAGCAGCGTGGCACCATGGAGACATGCACGCTCTGCAGAGTGCTGTGCATTATAGATTATTGTTGCCCCCATTGCTACACAATCTACATAGATATACGTTATCCAACCGTCCCGACGTGTTCCATCACGAGCGCATTCGCAGCGGACATACGCGAGCATACCCACACATGGAACGTTATAGCCGTGTACTAACTTTGAACGATGCGCGATCGAAGAAACAAATTTCCCACCTCCCGCCTCCCGTGTCTTGATAAGTACACCGCACGTTTGATACGTCATATCGAGAACATATTGCTCTCGATTATTATTTTTACAGAATTGATAATTGTTTTGACTTTATTTTACATCGATCGTTATTTCTGACGCTTTTAATTGTAACGTTTTATTGCACGTCGAGTAATTTCTTTTGCTTCGTAAAACGACGACCTACCCGATAGTTCGAGCCTTTAGATCTTGTTTACGATGGGTCTGCCTGCAGACGCAAACGAAAACTTATAATAAATAATTGGTCTTAATTGTACCGGGAACAGGAGTATCCCGTCTTGATGAGAAAACTCGCTAGTACATCGCTTTGTGAATACTCGAGAGAGTATTTCTTTTTTCCCTTCTTTCGACCGATTCGCAGTTGCTATCATTAATTGACCAGATAGCAATTTCTACTATCGATGTAGTGTCTTTCCGTCGATTTTCATCTTTGTAAGAACAGCGTAATTTCCGATAAAAATGTGGCACGTTTTATATCCCTAAAAAGGTAAATCTCAATTTTACAACATGAAATTTAATGAGGATAAGTTGTTAATCTCAAACGATTATATAAACGATTATATCAATCCTCTGTTCTTCCATAATATATAGATTATTAATAGATTATTTTGTAGTCGTAATAATACAGCTGAAGTATGCAAATAAATTAATAATTTATTGTTTATTATAAATAAATAAAATTATAAAATCAAGATTAGAATAGTAAAAAATATATAAGTACTACTTAACAATATAATAAATATGTATTAATAACTGTATTCTTGAAGCTTACTGAAGCTAAATTATTTAACATTATATAAGGAATAAGATCAGTTTAAACAATATTGCTCACCAATTGCAGAATAATTTAAATTTTATATTTTAATAAGATATTGATTGAAAATATTAAAATAGAAAACAAGAATTAAATATAAAATGTTGTTTACAAAATAACTTGAAAATAAGTACAACAAAATAAACTAATATTATATAAAATAAACTAAAATAAAAATATACGTGACTCTAAACTATGGTGGACAATTCAATTTGAAGTATGCATCAGACCACCCAAAGATAGCTATATTAATCAATAAAAATTCGAATATCCGCAAAATTTTTGATCGCTCGTGAGAGATACAATGTCCATAAAATTTTCTATTACTTTTACTATATGGCGGGAATTCGGCAGTGGTCTGTTTTTTACCAAAATAAAATGTTTTTTCAAGCGAGCTCACGCATGACAGACGATATCGCTATAACTAAAATAACAGCCTTATTTCACACGGAAATTTCTATTTCGATGAAAACCCCGCATTCTCGCGCGCTTTCTCTCTCTCTCTCTCTCTCGCTTTCTGTCTCGCGTGATTTACATCTGGCTTGCGACCAACTTCGCTCGTAATTATCCGTGTAATTTGACCGATCGAACGATATGCTTCCGAATATCGCGATATCAAGGATCCACGATTTTGGTATTTATCCCCGCACGCTCATAAATCGCTACGAATTACGCAATGCGCTCCCTTCGCGCGCGCCACTATGACGCAACCATTATTGCCATGAATTTTGAAAACGATAAACTTTCCATATGTATGGGACCATATTACCAATCATTACTATTCGCAACTGTCAATTAAATTGTTTTGGTGACGTTAATATGTAATAACGTCGCTCCAGATGCTGTGTACAATGTACTATAACAATTTACAGGTTTTCTTGATATATGAAGACATATAGTTGGCATACATATGGCTCTCGTGTAAACATAAAATAATATTTTTCTTACGCAGTAATAATTTTTTTGCATAAATGATCACCTGATTTTTACATCTCAATTAAAAGTCATAATTAGATTTTTGAAATATTACTATTATTATTAATTGCATACCGCATATTTTTAATTGTTCTATAATTTATTAGTATTATTTGAGGACAACATATGTATAAATTTACTTAACATTTTCTGAAAAAAGTAAGAAGAAACCAAAAAAATATTGAAAAAACAAAAGAAGAACACATAAAAATTACTGTGATGTGAGCTTCATTTTTTTCGAACTTGTGTAAAAATCATCCTAGTCGCCGTTTCTGGATTAATAGTGTTACTTACAATCAACTAACTATTTTGAACTAACGTTTTTTGAATAGGCAAATTTACACTGTAACGGCGTGAAAACTTTATTATCCCGCAAAATATTCTTCTATAGGTTTCAAATGGAGCGGCGGATTGAGTTCTGCGAATCAAGTTTCTTTTGTTATAACATTTCCATTCTTTTCCGTAGAATGGAGTACTATGCTTTATATAATCTTACTTAGTGACGCTATTGTTGTGCGATTATTTAAAAACTGCATTATAAAAAAATATATTGAGTTGGAGACTTATTTTGATATTAAATATCAAGGGATATTTTACCACAGCATTTTCTTTTTGTTTTGAAGAGAAAAAATAATTGATTTTGAGACAAGAACGCCAGACATTGTTAGAAGTCTTTAATTTACATTTCTATTGCAACAATTAATTACAAAATATTATCTTGGTCAATTTAAACTAATCCTTGAACAAAGTAACGATGAACATGTACAGTAGACATCATCTATGTTTCTTTTTGCCCAAAGGGTCAAAATTGTTTACCATTTACTCATTTACTGTTAATGAAAACGTGAAACCAGCCACATGTTACTTCTGCTTCCTCCGCCAAAATAACCATGGTCACTCATGGGTTACAGTCCTGGCCGCAGCAAAGACCACGGAGCAGGGATGACCTCCAAGTTTCGCCCGTGGTTGTATATAACGGAGTGTGCAACTCGAGGAAATATCAAACTTCGCTAGTTTCATATCCCCCGCATCAATACTGAATTATGTGACGTTCGTGATTCGAATCCGCTCTTCATCTCAACTCTTCATTTCAACTCTCGAATTTTGTTATCTCAATTTTGAGCAAATGCATTATTCCGCATCTCTATTCCGCGAGAAGATCGGAATAAACACTCGATCGGAATAAACAGAAGGAAAAAGAGGGAAAAAAGTGAAAAAAGAAATGCAAAGTTATTTATTAATTAATTATAATTAATGCTGACTAAAGGTGATTTTAAATTTGCAGAAATCCGAACATTATCGATCATCATGGGAGAAATGAGACTCTTTTACCAGCTAGTAGGGAAAAGAGCCGATTTCGCAGCTTGTCCTGGGAACAGTACGATCCGGTACATCAAAAATATTTAGAAATTGGTAAGTAACATTATATTTATCTGGTAGTGTGCATTTTGCGACATTTGATACGAATAAATGGATATTTTAAGGCTCCTCGCTCACGTGCCACTACTATTTCAGATTGTGACGTCAGAAGCGAGAAAATATATAAATAAAAATTCTTGCGCAATATATTAAATTAGAAATATATTTTAATAGCAACATTTACAATCGATACAACCGACTTGTAAAATATACCGCAAACTATCTTTTTGTTTCGAAGAAAAATTAAATCATATTTATTTCTGTATATATATTATTAATTTGATAGTTTATTAGATGTGAACAAAGCTTATTTTTAGTTATGCATAATTTATTTCCAGATATATGTTTATTTAAGTCAATAATCAATTGTAAGTGTTGTTTTATTAAAACATATTTCTATTTTTATATGTTTAGCAAAAATTTTTATTGTACATTTTATCGTTTTTGATGTCACAATCTGAAACAGTAGTGGTGAGTGAACAGAAGCATTAAACATTAAACTGAATTAGAAATAAATTTAACAAAATAATAACAAAATCTCCAAACTTTTATTTTCATTTTATCTACAGTATCTAAATTGAAATATATAAAGAATCTAAAATAAAACGACATTTTATTATATTAAATTATACTGGAGCTGGATTTCATGTCAAACTTGCAACTGTACGCTACATTATTTATACCGTAAAGTAACTGAAGTGAAAAGTTCAGAATCGAAACAAAGAGAGAAATGAGCATTCAATTATTAAATCCGATAAAGAACTTCTGATTGTCGTTGCACTGCACCAGCGGATTAACTTTTCAGAATATCAAAAGAATTAGCAAAGCACGTTAATTCCTCGTTTTCGTTTTTACGTGAAAAAAAAGGCCGAATATAAATGGCTGAACAAACAAAGATACTCTTTTGGTTTCTGAGCAAATATGCTCGAAGGGTTTATTTCGAGGGCGCGGGCCACTCGACGTTCGATTAGTCTTCACTTAGCCGCGCGCATGAAGAAAACGCTGGCTGCTGTCGAGTTAGCTCGAATTAGAACGGGTCAGATCCCGGGCGAGCTTTCATCGTTTCGGTACGTGAAGAAAGAAAGGACCGGGAGAGATGAAGTGTCGCGCCAGGAACATGGCTTGCCACTCGTGTGTAGCTATTCGAGCTCGAGGAAAGAGCGGCTAGAGACTTTCCGCGAAGTCATTTTTATTGTGAGGACTGTGCTCGAGCACGTCGTAGATGACGTGAAATGAGCCCTTTGACCTGAAAAAGCCTGTGGCTTGTTCCGTAGGCTATCCATTTACGTGCCCGCGAAAAATCGTCCGCGTTAATTACTTTTGCACAGCATCACCATACTAATATCAACGATACTGGGTAAAACCCTGGACGTTATATGAGTGTGTGTCCAAACTTGCTTAAAGAAGAGCTTGACTTTCCGATTTTTTAAGTTATTTTTCTCGAAAAACGAAAACCTTCAGTGAAAAAATTCTAGTTTTTAAATAATTTTTTTGAGAGATACTGTCTCCCTTTGGCTTATACCAAAGATATATGAAATATGAAATGTGAAATAAACTCGCATGTCAAAGAATTGGATTTGACTTGAAAAAATTTTTTTATCAAGATCACACTACCACGAGAGAGAGAGAGAGAGAGAGAGAGAGAGAGAGAGAGATGGCGGAAGGTGCTCGCCATTTTTCACCGGAAAAGTCTGGTGAAAAATCGCGTTGAACCAATAGCCTGCATTCCACGTTGCTCGAGTCAACTCGAGTCGATTCTCCGAGACGTCTGCGCGTGATCCGAGAAAAATGCGCCGTAAAAATGGAACAGAAAGGGCGGATACTTTCCCCTCTCTTCGCAATTAATTTTTTGTGTGCCTTTGTCTCTTATCTGGATAGAATAAAAGTCCCCGGTCAAGAGGTTAAGTCCGCGGTGACGGAATTCTCACTCGAGATATCGATACAATCATATCTAGCGTATTCATGGGGATTCATAAACATTAGGAAATTATAAATTTTCTATTTTTTACCTCTTTCACGTAAATAAATCTAATCGTATGATTTTTTTATCAAACGTCATTAAACTTTTATAGTTTTAATGATATTTTTTTGCCATGAAAAGTCTTGTTGTTATAATTGTATTTTGTCTAACTCTAATTGCAAATACTCAGTTGTTAATACACAATGTCACAATAGAAACGCCTGAGCGCAATTTGAGAAACGACAGGCATTATCGAAGAATCTGTTTCGAATTTTACGTAGCGAGAAAATTCAATAATCTTTTGTTCCTTCGATTCAGTTTAATCATCGATTTCCGGCAACTCCTGGGGATGAGGCGGGCGGGGCTTTCCGAAACGAAAACAGCAATCGTCGGCTCGAGTAGTCGTTGTTTTACGTCCCGGCATTCCGCTTTTGTTCGCCTATCCGCTTTCTCGCCGCAACGCTCGCTATCTACTTCGCAATAGTTTTTACCCCGTCCAACCCTGCCTTCCCCTTCCTTTGTAGCTACCCCTTAGCCCTTATATAAACGTACTTTGCTTTAGCACCGATTAACCTTCATGTCACTTGAAATATTACTCCGTCTTATTTACACTATAGTTGTCTTAAATGTTGTATATTTCTTGAAAATTCAATATCTTGATAGTTGGATTTATCACTGGATGAAGTATGCCATCAAATTTGTTGTCTTACGCTTTTATCTTAATCCTTACGATACAAAATTACGTGTATAAATATGTAGAAGTCTTAAAATCTATTTTGTATTATTTTTCTTCAAACACACACACACACACACACACACACAGTCTTATTATATTTAAATTATAAAACTCTGGAATCCTGAAATCCATTAATCCAAAATTTAAACCCTTCTGCTGAACGTAATAATTTAATTTTATGCGACAATATAAGACTTTTGATATCTCTCAGTTTCTGAGAATTGAACCCCAGACGTCTGAAATCAATAAATTCTAGAACCTTATAACCGGAAAAAATAATCTCTGTGAAAATAGCTCCGTACTTATAGAATTTTGTATATTTATTAATTGCGCTGCATTTGTGCTATTTTATGCCAAAAACTTTATTTCGATAGCTTAGCGCTCTATTTAGAAAATAACAGAAACAAAATTTTTATTAGCCTTGTTAAATTTGAAGTATTTCTTAATTGTGTTGTATTGGGTAAAAATTAAGTTAATTTATGCCGCAAATAAAATAATATTTTGAATTGTATTCAAAAAAGTAAAAAAAAAATTAGCAAAAACTGACACAATAGGCCGAATTTTTACTACGCCAATTTTTTCCCCTATTTTTTTGCTAGATTCTTTTTCAATTCCCTTGATTTTCCGTACTTCTTTCGGTTGTCGCTTGTTTGTCTCGTGTAGCAAAACTCAGCGCAATTTACAAAACTTGATTATCCTGCCACGGTTCGGATGGTATAGGGTTTAAAATTTTTGTATTCCTAAAATCTAAGTTTCCAACATCGACTGTATTGTAAAATTCAGTGATCTGATGAGATTTTGTCATTAAAAAAAATTGTTGTGCTCGTCGAACACAATAACCCGGCACATTTTTTTGAAAATGTTAAATTTCTGTTTTTGTTTTCTGTCTTCTAGTATTAAGACAATATAGATAATGTAGTGATAATCAAGACAATGCATACATATGTACATAGACAACCGAAACAATTTTATACAACTAGAAATACAATAAATCCTTTATAACAATATTTATTTATATACTGCTGTTATGTTTACTTTCGATTTTTTTCCTACTAAATGGATAGATATATCAATGTTTTTTCAACGGCACAACATAGCACAAGTTAGAATCTTTTTACTAAAAAAAAATTTGAGCTCAATCGGGAAACAGTGCGGGGCTAACAAAATTGTATTTTTTTTAATACGGTTTAAAATATTGTTTTCGCATTTGCGGCACAAATTAGCACAATTGTAATCCAATACACAAATAAAAACACTCGACATTTAATATGTGCAAGCCTGACAAAAATTTTGTGTTTTATTATATTCTAAAATGTGCGCTAAGCTATCAAAATAGGATTTTTGGCACAAAATGGCACAAATGTCGCATAATGCAGCACAATTAATAAAAATACAAACTTCAAAAAGTGCGGGGCTATCTTCAAAGAAGTGAACAAATAAATAAATCCGCAATCCCCGGATGGAATTCTTTTAATTAAACCAGCTGGTTGGCATAACGAATTGTTAATTAAAACATTGAAAAAGATCTTATGCACGCAGAATGGAATGCAGAACGCAGAAATTAGAACAATTGCACATTCATGGCAGCAACGTTCGCTACTCGAGACATTCTTAAATCGATCTATCGTAAGCTTCGGTGGTTCATGACTACACGCGGTTGTTACGGGTGCTATTGTTCGTAATTAAATCAGATCTCTTCATACTTCCTTTTTCCTTTTCGTTAGCACGCCGAGAGTCCGTAAAGCCATGACGAGCGCGGCGTTGGGGTTTATATCCCGTTCGTGATGAACGGTGACATTTGACACGGGTGGACGCTGTCGCGTTCTCATAACACCGGGCGTATAAACACCTACAAGGTGTTCCGTAAGCAGTAAACTTACATAGTATAACTTTACAATATGTTTGAGATCTTTAACAAATATTTTACTAAGAATAATGTATTACGCGCACATAGTGACACTATCACTTTTTTATTATTATTTTACAGAAACTCAACAGACACACATGCGTTTGCGCACTAAAGATCGATTTTCTTACAAAAAATAAACGAAGAAATGCGCAATTATTTCTTAAAATTTATTATATAAATATGAACATTTTTTATATTCAAGAGGAAGATAATAGAAAATTGAAAAATTGAATAAATGACACTTGATCAAACGTTAAAATTGCTCGCAAATTTATTAAAGAAATGTGTTTTTAAAGTTGAATGAAGGTCTTATGCAGAACTTGTGTAAACACCCTATATAGGAGCAGAACGCGAGAAGCTTGCAACGGGTCGGCAAGGCGCGGCGACGT